GTGTGCGCGCGCGTGTGTGTGTGTGCGTGCGTGTATAATTCACATTGAATTATTTAAGCATTAAAGATCTAGCTTCGACTGGTATAGGCATTTCTAGTTCGTATTGTGTTCTCACAACTACACTGTACGGTCTAAAATATGATTCTTATTGTTTAAGTTTATTTATTTTTTAATATAATTTTTAGGCGGATTTGGCCGCTTTATTTATGCCACGACAACCACTAATGTCGGCTGCCGAAGCGTATCAACTCATGGCGGAGTGGAACGATGATTTGGAAGGAATGGAAGCATTAGTATTAGAAGGAAAAAAATTCGTACGCCTACCGGAGGAAGAGTTAGGACATTTTTACAGTGCTGATTGTTATGTTTTCTTATGCCGATATTGGATGGTACGTAAAATATATCATCATATCAATGCAAAGCTATGAAATGTACGGTTAATTGCCATTTTGCTTTTGATTAAAACAGCCACTGGATATAACTGAGAACGAAGATGGTGAGGAGCAATACGAAGACGATTATCAGTGCACGGTGTATTTCTGGCAAGGCAGAGACGCGGGAAACATGGGATGGTTGACGTTTACGTTTAGGTAAAGACCATAGATTTACACATTTATCTAATCTGCGATTCCTACAGATTTATATTCCACAGATTTATTCAATCTGTGATTGTCAATATAAGATGAATTATATCTTTTTTATTTCAGTCTGCAAAAGAAATTTAAATCATTGTTCGGGGAAAATCTGGAAGTTGTAAGGACACATCAACAGCAAGAAAATCTGAAGTTCATGAGTTACTTCAAACGAAAGTTCATCATTCATCAAGGCAAACGTAAACAGCCGAAAGTTGCAGGTAGTAACAAAGTAGAATTCTTTCATCTGCGAAGTAACGGCAGTGCCTTATGTACTCGGCTCATTCAAATACCGGCGGATTCAACGTTATTAAATCCTGCTTTCTGGTGAGACATATTTCGTTAAGTACGCATGATTACATTCCGTTTGTAAAATATCTTATCTTTTTTTGTTTGCAGTTATCTTTTAAATGTGCCATTTAACAATTCTGATGAAGGAACTGGTATCGTGTACGCATGGATTGGATCAAGGGCTGACCCCGAAGACGCTCGTCTAATTGGAGAAATAGCAGAGGAAATGTTCAACAATGTGAGTTATAACTGTTTTGTGTTTAGATCTCAAAGAGCTTAGATCTTAAATTGGATTTTGTTCAACGAATTTTGTAAACGAATTGCAAAAATATAAATATAAATATAAATATTAAATATTTAAATACTTAACAGATATTTAAGGGGGAACCACCATTCTTAAGATTTGAAAAAAATCGAAATTTTTTTTTACTTAAATTTTGCTTAAATTTATATTTTATATTGTTAAGAATATTTCAATAGTTTTAAGTCGGTCTCGTAACTGTATAATCCCGTTAGAGCTAATATCTTGCGTTTCCTCACCTCGGCATTGAATCTGCTCCAAGCGGCAGACGTCACGCAGCAGAGCTCTCTTTACAGATAAAGGAAACTTAAACTGTCAAAGAAACAAGTTTTGACAGATAGATGTTGCCACTTGTAAAGTATACGGCACAGGCATTGCAGATTAAGGCACAATTCCGATTTATAATCTTATAAACAAAAAGTTCTAAAAAAACTTTAAACGTATTTTTCTCAAAATAAAATTTTCAATGTACACGATAACTTTTACAATTCTTAATCAATTCACTTGAAA